ATAGCATAATATTGTGTTATCATTGTACATTAAAAGCCCAGATCCCTCCTTTCATTATTCCAGTGACTTTTTTCTTCTCTATTTTATAAATATCCCTCAAATTTTATTCTTGTTTCTTTTCAGCATTTTGATTCATTAAAAGTCTATATGTCAATCCATCAAGAAATACTGCTGAAATGCAGTGATATTTCTTAGAAGAGAAGAAAAGCATGTCTATTTTAACACCTAGAGCTCCCAAATTGCCTCATTTGTACTGGGTGGGGGTTTCCTGGGATTGGGGCTCTCCTAATTAATAGCCTGACTTGTTTTCTCTAATTGGAGCCAAGATAGGGATTATTGTTTTTCTGCTTACATTTATCTAGATTTCCCCAGAGAGTCTATCTTCTACTTCGAGCATTCTGGTTATGTTCAGGGGAAGATACATACAGGGAAAAATGAGGAAGGAGAGAGGGAGAGAGTGGGGATTTACAGGCAGGCAGAACTATAATCACTGATGAGGAAATTCACTTAAGCTGGATGACTCAGGGTAGAAACAACAGAAAAACAAAGGAAGTTTGCCTCACTATTATAGTTCTAAATACCATACATGGGGAAGAAGTCTTCATCCGTATTCATTCCAACTCTGGAGCTCAACAGCAGCAAGGTCAGTGAGTTGACTAACTTGGAGGCATGGGAGAGGTGCAGAGAAAGAACAGCACACCTGCATCCAATAGGCCTATAGATATTATGACTACTTGTTGGGAAGGTTTTCCTCAATGAAGAGGCAGGAAATTGTTACAGAGCAGTTTATTTATTAGCTTACTTACTTATTTACTCTATTTATTTATTTATCTATACTCAGAAATAAAGTTATGACATATCCTGAGAGTATATGTACAGTCTTTATTTTATCTTGGTTTTGAGACTAGGTCTCATTAAGTCATTAAGTTGCCCAGGCTGGACTCAAACTTGTGATCTTGTCTCAGGCTCCCAGAATGCTGGAATAATAAGCATGTGCCATCATGCCCATCTCTGGCAGGCTTTGATTAACTTCCCCAGAAATGAGTGAGTTATAAATACAACCAATGTCAGAGAATTGCTTTAAAAGTACAAATGAGCATTGCAACTCATTTCTGAGACATTTTAGGAAGAAATGTTTGAGGAATTAGCTGAGTTTTCTACTTGGCTATTGTGCAGTTAAAGCCATTGATAATTATACTACACTTACTATGCTGAATTCTGGATAAGAATAAAACAAGGTTCATTGAATAAAGCCAAATAGTTTTCCTTTTTGGTTCAGATTTGCTATGTCCTTTCTTTAGCTTAAGCACATCTCTTTAGGAGATTAAAGAGTTAGACCTGCCTCTGCTCAAAAAGTAAATTATTGAACTAGTGCCTGGTTTAGTTCTTAGAACCTTCTTTTAAGGGTTGTAGGTAGTAGATGTGCTGGAGATTTGGAGACATCAACACTTGTGGAAGAGATGAGGTATGTGTGGAAAGACTGAAGGAACCTTAAAAGAATATTTTAGAAAGAATGAATATATGTGTATAGATACAGATATCTACATACACTCAGTCATCTCTCTATGAATAGAAAGAGTGAAGCTTGACATGTGATATTCACTTGTTAAAACTACCAACCGAGTCACATTACTATAGAAACTTGTTAGAAAACAAAGATACAGCAATTGCAAAAGAGGTGAGAAGAAGCTATTTTGGGAAAGAAAGAGAGAGGTCTTAGGGAGGTTTAGAAACTAAAAAATGTTTAAGTGATATGTGTGGAATAGTGACACTTTGCTAAGCTGGATCGACAAGTAGCAGGTTGCCATGACAACAGAAAATAAAAAAGCTTTGTTTTCTACAGAAACAATAAATTAGCTATAGTATCAAATAAATGATAACTTGCAAATGTATGTAAATAGAAGTTAGCAATTTGATAGGAATCAGTCATATAATTAAAAAGCAAATATATAAGATAAAAGATGTCACTGAAATAGCAAGATAAAATAAGTTAAACAGAGCCTGATTCATTTAGTTTGGGAACTGAAGGATTATCATATAAAAGTATATAAAGTTTTACAAAAATATACAGATATTTAGAGCTATAAATATATGTACCTAAAGTTTGCATCCAGATGCACAGCAATAATATGAGTAAAATCTATTAATGAAGTGCTCTTTCTTAAGGCACATACGAAGTATCCAAAGCAATAAAGAAATTTTTTTCATTATCTGAGCCAGCAGTTAGGCATGAATAATCCTATATAATTTGAGATTGCTCCTTTGTGAAAGGGGATAATTTAAGGAAAACAATTATAAAAAAAGTAAAACAGTACAGGTCCACAAGAGGACTCACATGGGGAAACTGATGCTCTTGAGCGACGGACCTTTAGAGAATGGAGATTCACATAAAGTAAGGTTGGAAGTAGAGACCTTTGGAAGTGCATTACCTGAGTGTAAGAATTACTAGGCATCAAAATAAGATAAAGCTAGTGGATGCAAAGTGTGTCCTCTGGTAGTTTTAACAAATGAAGATCACATGTCAAATAAAAGATCTTGTTGATATAGCAAGAAAAACTAAGTTGAATCAATCTTGATGATTAATTTGGTTTGGGAACCAGGGGGACCATAGTGCCTTCATATGACTTTCCCTTTGAAGCTGTGTCCAAACCACCTCTTCTTACAAGGACACCAGTCATATTGGAATAAGATCCACCCTAATGCCCTCATTTTAATATAATCACATAATTGAAGACTATATATAAATTTAACCAAATTTTAAGGTACTAACATTTAACATAATTCAGCCTGCAACCGGTGGTGATAGAAAGTCTGGGTCAAGTGGGAGAACCCTGTGGGAAATATGAGGCTGAGGAGAAAGAATTCCAAACAAGAAATTCTGGAGTCATGGTAATGATTAAGGAGATTAGAAGTCCACCAAAATTGATAATTTTGAATAATTGGGAACTTGAAATGGATAATTCTTCTGTGTAGAAGAGAATATAGAATGAAGAGATATAAATGAAGAAAAAAATGTTGGGTTATCTTCATACTTAGGTGGTAAAAAGTGGAAAAACCAAAGAGAGAGAAACCAGAATAGTGTAGAACCAAACAGACAAAGGAAGGAGAGACTTGAGGATTGGGTGACCAATCTTCTGAAATTAGTGGCAATGAACTTGGAAAGTGAAGGGTTGTAATTTAATTAAAAGATTCAGGGTGAAATGAAGAGACTAAATAATGCATTGCACATTAGAAAAATGCTGATGACAAACTTAGCAGAATAAAAATGCACCCCTCAAGATAAGAAGATGTGAATATATGTGACAGGAGAGGAGAAGTGATCAATATAAGTTATTAGGACAATATCCTATAATGTGTGGTGTTTAAATTTTATTACACAGAACTCTAATGCTCTACTCTTGGACTGACCTACTCAGTACAATTCTCCTAGTTCAGTCCTATATTTATAACTTATTATATTCCTTTTCTGTGAATTACTTCATCTGACCAAAGGTTTCTGGTACAAAACATCTTTGAGATGCAGAGGTAGAGAAGGGATGGGAGAAGGTAGAATTGTCCATCTTTAAGAGAAGGTGAAATAATATTTCTACACTTTCTTCCTCCCCTGAGTACTACCGGAATCATTATTAATAATGTGCAAAGACAGGGTGCATTACTTAGAGCAACAAGGAGGAGGAAGATGGGCAGAATTCATCAGTGATGGCTTTACCTTGATCGTTAAATTATTTAATCAAGTCATATTCTAAGATTCAGATGAACTAGCAGATTAAGGACAAAATTTCAAAAAAGTTGCAGGGAGATTTTTTTAAAAATCAGTAAGATGTGAGTATGAGAAGGTTAACCACCTTAATTGTTTACTATTACTGCAATGCCTTACACAATAGTTTCAAAGCATAGTCTTCTGACCAGCAGGATCAACACTGCCTGCAAACACTTGGGCTCTACCAGAGACTACTGAAATAAAGACTGTCAGTATGAATCCCAGCACTACGAGTTTTAACAAGCCTTCAGCTCACTGATGATGCTAATATTTGATAGTCACTAGCTCAAAATATTGGTTGTGTTTCCAGATGATATCTTTTTACTTACCACAAATTTAGTTGTAAACAAACAATATGAACTACTTCATTTTCTTCCTTCATGTCCTCAATACAAGGATCTACCCAGAGGCTGGTTTTTTGGTAAATGGATTTCCTTTCAGATCAATAGTAGAATAGTAGACACTTTCTAGAAAACTTGAGTTCAGTAGGAGTTGAAATCCTAACTTCCCACTTACAGATGGATAGCTCCAACTGGACCACTGCTCAGGAGTTTATCTTCTCTGCTTTCCCTTCTTCCTGGGGAGATTCAGTCATCTGCTTCATTCCACTGCTCTTCATCTATGCTTTCATTATTGTTGGAAACCTGGTTATCATCACAGTGGTGCAGCTGAATACTCATCTTCACACTCCCATGTACCTTTTCATCAGTGCCCTTTCTTTCCTGGAGATTTGGTATACCACAGCCACCATCCCAAAGATGCTCTCCAGCCTGCTTAGTGAAAGGAGGAATATTTCCTTAAATGGTTGTCTCCTGCAGATGTACTTCTTCCATTCCACAGGCATCAGTGAAGTTTGTCTTCTGACAGCCATGGCCTTTGATCGCTACCTGGCCATCTGCAGGCCTCTTCATTACCCCACTATCATGACCTCCAAGCTCTGTGCTCAACTCACTTTAGGTTGCTGTGTTTGTGGCTTTGTCACACCCCTCCCTGAGATTGCCTGGATCTCCACACTACCGTTTTGTGGCTCTAATCACTTGGAGCATATCTTCTGTGACTTCCTCCCAGTGCTGCGTCTGGCCTGCACTGATACACAGACCATTGTCATGATTCAGGTGGTAGATGTTGTCCATGCAGTGGAGATTATTACAGCTGTGGCCCTCATTTTCATGTCCTATGTTGGTATTGTGGCTGTGATCCTTCGTATTCGTTCAGCTGAAGGCCGCCGCAAAGCATTTTCTACATGTGTCTCCCACCTCACGGTTTTTGTACTCTTCTTTGGCAGCGTGGCTCTCATGTACTTGCGCTTCTCTGCCACATACTCCTTATTCTGGGATACGGCCATTGCTCTCGCCTTTGCAGTTTTGTCCCCTTTCTTCAACCCTATTATCTACAGCCTGAGGAATAAAGAGATAAAAGAAGCTATAAAAAAGCACCTGAGTCAAACTAAAATCTTGTCTTCATAAGACTAGGGACCTCAAGCAAGAATCTTAGTTGGGAATATCAATATGTGCTGGTTCCTCTTCATCCTCAACTATGAAAAAGAAACTTTATCAATCAACCATTTACTGAAACTGATCTCTTAAAAGTTCCTAATAAATAAACATCACCAATAGGAGAATTTGATAGCTACTTTGTCTATCTTTATTCAATTTAACATGCTTTAAGCATAATTTTGTTAAATGAATATTATGCCACTCAAGTTATTTGAGGTAAATTCAGTTCACTAAAATGATCTGGAAAAGTAATTTTATTTATTTATTTTTTTTTTTTTGGTTTTTCTCCGGTACCAGGAACCGAACTCACGACCTTGCGCTTGCCAGGCAGGCGCTTTGCCGCTGAGCTAAATCCCCAACCCTGGAAAAGTAATTTTAATACAATCAAAATATTTGCTGGTATAACATAGTAATTGAGAATATTTTTTACATGGCAAAGTTCTTTCCATTGTACTCCAGTGTATACATTTGAAGAATGAGCCTAATTTGTAAGTTGAGGATTCAACTATTAATCAATAAACAATCTAGATAAATTATGCATCAAAAAATTAGTTTTTCATGATAAATGAAAAATTAATCTTTGTTTTTGCTGTGATCAAATGTATTGCACATATTAAATCATAGATATAATAAATATTTATTGAATATACAACTTATTGCCACACTAAATTTTGACCTTGTGGCCAACTGACCAACTGTATTGAACAGTAGTTCTGTTTTCAACACCCTCATCTCTAGGCATTGAAGATTCCGGACTGTTACTCTCTCCGATCTTTTTAAAGTCTCTTTTGGAGACAATTTTCTTGTTGTATGTGATTCATAAAGTTTGATTTCCTCACTTTAACATCTAGTTTGGATGGGATAGCACTCAATATTTTGCAAATGTTTGTAGATTTTTACCTTCATGAGGCCACTAACACAAATCTTGTAGTTGTCAGCCTAATGCTCTCGGTTCTATGTCACAGCCCTTCCCTCACTCTCACCTTAACTCTTATGATACCTCTCTTATCTCCATATTTTACTACATTCAAACTCTTTCTCCCTGAAGCCTGGATTATTTTTTAATACAACTCTGATCACTGTACTACTGTACCCAAAAAAATCTTCCATGACTTAATCCTATAATTGATGAATGCAAGGTACTTTTACTAGAGAGTGAGGGTGTGTGTGTGTATTTGTGTGTGTGTGTGTTGAATAATTTTCTAAGCTGAGTGAAAAATAAGAGAAAAAGAAAAATAAAAAAAATTTATGAGACGTTCGTATTAATCTTATTTTGAAAATAGACCACTGGTAAATACACAGATATGAGGAAGCATATCTTCTGACTTGGAGACAACAGAAAATGCTATTTGCTTTGTTGACTTTAAATGTATTTCTTTTGTCAAAATTTCTAGCTCATTTATTATGTAAATTTTTACTTATAATAATAAAACAACATGAGAGTTCACAATTATAATTATATTTGCTACTAAAAATAATGCAATTTTGCACTTATTTGGTACCATTCATATTTAAGACATTGTACTGTCTCCTATGTATCTTATATTGTAACAATAACTTGTAATAGGTGTTATTGTCATTTATGTTTTAAAAGGAAGCAAAATGTGCTTTACAGGGGTTAAGCTATTTGTCCTAGTACATGCATTTAATAAGGCCTGAGCTGCTATTTAATCCTAGGTCTGACCTTTTCTTTTAATAACCATGCTATATTTCCTAATATTGTGGCTATATTCTTGAGGGATTAGAGAGGTATTGTATTAGTAGAGTTTTCTATTGAGTCAGAACCAATGGGCTGGCTATCCATCTACCAATGTATATGTCTGGAAAATGCTTATTATAGGAATTGACTGATGTGAGTATGGACACCAATAAATCTCTGGGATCTGTATCTATGAGTTGTAGTAATAGCAAAACTAGTCATGTAATTTAGTCTGAGGCTGCAGGTATGAGAACTAGGAATTCCATGAGCATGGGTTCACTGTAAAACTGATGTATAACTCTAAGTCTAAAGGCCTGAAAACCAGGCAGACTTGATTCCAAGAGCAAGAGAAGATGGTTGTTCTTGCTCAAAACAAACAAATACACCCTTTCTCCAACCTGTTTGTTCTCTTCATGTTCTTTTGTTTTTGTTTTTTTTTTGGTGGCACCAGGGATTGAACTCAGGACCTTGCGCTTGCTAGGCAGGTGCTTGTGCCACTGAGCTATATCCCCAGCCCTGTTCTCTTCATGTTTTCAGTGGATTGAATGATGGCCACCCACATTAGCAAGGGTAATCGTTACTGAGCCTGCCAATTCAAAAGCAAATCTGCTTCCTAAACATTTTTATAGACACATGCAGAAATAATGTCAAACTACTTGTAGGGAAATACTCAGTCTATTCAAATTGACATATAAAACTGATTATTACAAGTCCCACTACTTGTGTATTTGGCATTTTTTCAGACTACATTTAATTTCCAAATAAAAATATTGTCAAAATTCTGCCTGACATGATGCAACTGCCCTTTGTACAACCTGAAAAGTATTTTTTGTTCCTTAGTTGAGGAGATACATAAAGTCCTTAATTAATATTTACTTCTCTTCCAAAATCTCATAACCTAAATATTCTAATTTACAATTAACAATACTTAATATTAATTTAAAGTAAAAACAATCTTATGTCATATGATAAGAGACTAAGATAGAGAGAAACCTAAAGATATTTGATAAAGATATATATCCATTACAAAGTAAGCAAAATATCCATGACAGTTATAATCCACATTTGTATACCGGTCATGTCATCATCATTATTGTGTTTAACTACTTTTTTCTGCTATCCATTGTGTAGTCCCTTGAGGTTCAGCTTTTATCTGGTGGTGTGACCTAGACCTTCATTCCTGAGGAATCTAGGCCATTAACAGTCCTACTTGAATTGGACAGTCGTGGTTTTCCATTGACATTTATCATGCGGTGGGCTAATACTGAGAATTACCCTATGTTATGTCTTTTTTTGTGTGTGGTCCTGGGGATTGAACCCAGGGTCTCGTGTGGGCAAGGCAAGAGCTCTACTACTGAGCCACATCCCCAGTCCCAAGTTATCCTTTGTATACCAGACATACTCTTCCTTATGTCCACTATGAAATAATAAAATTACCCTTGCTAATTTGAATTGATCACTGTAGCTTCTTTCTTTTCCTATTAACTCAGAGACATCAGGAGCTTAATGTGTCCAAGTGGCCATTTTAACTTCCAGTTAAACAGAATCATTGATGAATCTCTTGAAACTGAGATCTCTAGATCACCAGAGAATAAAATAACAGCAGTAGAGGGCAAAAAATTTCCTAGTGGCTGAGTTGCCATGATGGTGAGCAATGGGTGAATGGTGAGTGGTGCCATATCCATTTCCACTTCATTCCTTGACTTATAAGTCCTAACTGTAAGAGAAATAGTATTATGTAGTGGATGTTGATTCAGAGCATGTATAGACTTCTGCAGAAACTTGCCACAGTTTTGGAAGGTATTTCTTTTCTTTTTTTTTTTTTTTGGAAGATATTTCTATCTAGCTGACACTGTAACTGTCTTCAAAAGCTATTCTACTTTTCTGTCAAACCAGCTGCTACAGGATGGTGAAGAGCATAGTAAAATCAGTGAATTCCATAAGCATGGCTCCACTGCAAAACTTATTTTTAGTTGAATACAACTGAGATTCTTGGTTTTAAAAATGTTACCTGGAATCCACAATGCCAGATAATGCACTCTGTTAGCCTACAGATGGTGGTTTTACAGAACATTGCTTTCAGGTAAGGTAAATCCATACCTAAAGCATGTATTCCATTAAGTGCCAAATACTGTTTCTTTCACAAAATAGTTCTCCAGTGTAGTTGGCTTACCATCAGCCAGTTAGGTGATCACTCTAGGAAACAGTATCAGTGACTCAATGTTGGTCTCTGCTACTAGCAGATAAGACATTCAGTGGTGTCTGGTCTGTCTACTATTGCCATATTACTCAGTTCAAGTATAACTTCTGTCTCTGCTACTATGGCCACTTTGGTAATAAAACTGTAAGTGATGACTGGGGTAGCTGGGTTAACTGGTATCAGCAGAAGAGGACTTAAAGTCTATAGCATGCCTGCTCACTTAGTTATTAACATCCTCATAAATTCATTCTTTGGTTGGCGTTTATATGGGACATAAATATCTTGCTGCAAGATCATACTGTGGTAGCTATATACTTCTTTGCCACCAATGAATACTGTTTCTTACAATTCATTGATAATCCAGCAAAATCACTGATGATAGCCCCTGTAGTGGTATGTAATAATGTCTGACCATTTTATATTCAAGAGAAAATATGCAATAAGCTTCCCTACCTAGAATACTGCCCACTAGGGGGGGGAGTTTCTTTTCATCACTGTCCTTAGGGCTATCCAAAGAATGAGAGAGATATAGTGGTGTATTCTTCATTTTAGATACATGTAATGCAGAAACATCTGTAAATCTGGCTCTGTCACCTGACAGTAGAAAGCTCAATATGCAAACATAGATGCAAGCTAGGAAGAGAAAGCAGAGTAGCAGAAGTGAGAGCATGAGCACTTTGGTCACTTCTTCACGTAATTAATTATGCATTCTTAGGCCCAGTACCATATAAGTATATATTTCCATTTGATGATCACTTTCTGTTGTGCATGCCCAACCTCATGATTTAATGGACTGGCTAACAGCCAGTTCATGACAAGCATTGCAGGTCCACATCCTAAATTGGTGGCCTATGCTCAAGCATTCAGTTTCTAGTAAGATGAAGTATCAGACAAGGAGCTAGGTATGCAGGTAGTTGTCTCTAGAATATGGTAGTGTCTTGTTCCAAATCCTTAAGGTTTGTGTTGTGACTCACAGGACTGTCCAAATACCACAGATACTTCAACATGTTGCTGACACTTCAAGTCACTTGGATCTGCTGGATAATAATGACTCCCATGACAGAGAACCTC